GCCCAGAAAATTCAGTATACTATATGAAAACATCATTAAATTAAAGCATGTAAACTTATTTATGTACAATGTCTTTTTTTAATGCTAAGGTTAAAAAGAAGACACCAGAAATATTGAAAAACACAAAGCAGCAAGGTAGAAATACTGCAAGATTATCATAACTCAGTTTGCCACAGCAAAAACATTTAAGATAAAATTGAAAATAAAATAAACATGTTATGATATAGCCAAATTATTATAAAATGTTATCAAAGTGGCTGGCTGTACATTCTGGAGGTCACAGAAAATTATTACTTTAAAATGTTTTCTCACAAATTAGCATAGATACACTGTTCTCTATGGTTTCCAATATGCTACCTCACACCACAGTGTATTGCTCCCCAAGGGAGCCTGGTTCTAATCTAAGGCAGATGAGATGGATGGGGCCAGAATAGCAGTCTTTGACAGACGCTAATAAAAAAGACCAGTGACATTCTACCAACTTGCAATATTCCATTTTACTAGAAGCAGTAGAGCAGAGAACAGAGCATGAGCTTTGGAATCAGACCTGCATTCAAATCCTGGTCCCACCACTTGCAGCTGTGACCTGAGAACTCTCTCTCAAATTCAGTCTTCAAAGTGGAGTAAGGGAGCTAAACCACCTTCATGTTGTTCCAAGTCCATAATGTAGACAAGCCACTCCACCCGTTTACCTTGTGGTCTGCCCTCAATACAGCCTGGTCACTTTCGTTTAAAAGTGAGCAGTTTAAAATGATCGAGTTCAATTAGAAATTTGCTTGGTAACATACTGCAGGAAAGATTTTTGTTTGTTTGTTTAAATACATTTAACTAATTCTGATAGCTTTTGTCAAGAATGCCTTTTTTGAAACTGCCAGTGCTTTGTGGTCCTGTTGCTTACTATGACAAGCAATAAAATCCATTTTATCATAAAAAGAAAATAAAATTGAATTTTTTTATGTGATCAAAGGATGGCTGTGTGCTTTTCCCATGGGGAAGGGGGTCATGCATCTATGGAAGGGTAAATACTATTTGTAGCCCAAGACATAAGCCGTACAGAAAAACCTTGTAGGGCAGAGAAATAGGAAAGAAATTTATTTTCTCAAAGCTAGGGTCTCCAAATAGCAGTTTTTAATGAACCTTTCAAGGGTTCGCAGACCCACTTAAAGTTCTCATGAAGTTATAGACCATCTTCCCTGGAAAATGTACATCTATATTATTCACTAATTTTTTACATATAGTTCCTGGAGCTCACAGACTACCCTTAAACCTATACATGGATCCAAGGTTAAGATCCTCAGTGTTACAGGCTTGTGCACACACAGAAAATATCCAACTAATTTCCTAAATCCAGACAGTATGATGAAGACTTTGGAGATTTTAATTATCTTGTGTAGCGATTCCTATGCATTGCTCCATTTCTTCATTAACCTTTAATGGGAGACAAGCCCACTTTTCCCTTTGTTAAGACTGTATTTACTGATGTTTCTGTAATATTTAATTCATTCTGCTATCAATAACGATAGCTTCTGAAACTCATGAATATCAACATCCTATCATCAAAGAGTACCTCTGAGAGCTGGCAAGCCTGAGCCTCGAAGAGCTGGATCAGTCATGATGTTTAAGGTGTGCCCGCTCTTCTCCTTTGAGAAGGCTCAGGAGGCAAGCAGGCTGCTGGCAGAAAAAGAGGTACATGATTTTTGGCTAACAAGGCTTTACGTAATATGGAGCCTATTTCTGTGGAGATAGACCCCAAAGATAATTACCAATGAGGGCGCATGCCTAGCAGTAAGTCAAATTTTTGATTCTAGATTTTAAAAAATAAGACTAACCTAAGCTTCAACCAAGGTCAGAAGTAGTCTTAAAATTCAGCTCATGATTTGATTCAGGCAAATAAAAAAGATCAGACAAAAATAGAAGGATAAGTTTCTGGGGCACGAAATACTACAGTAGAGAAGTAAAAAGGGCAACAGTAGGAAGGCGAGTATAGAATAATCTGAAAGTCAGGAGACTCCTTGGTGTCGGGGAGGAAAGTTCCCTTTTCTTAGTATGCCAGAAAACGGGCAAGAGTCTACAACTCATGTTAAAACCATGACTCTTCTATGGGATGTTATGACATCTGTAACAGCTCCCAGTAAAATGATTAATTAAAACTAAAAAAAAAAAAAAAGATTCTTTCAGTCCTATAACAAGTAAAATAATGGAAGTCAAGTTTGATTTGTTATTCTCTTGAGGTAAACAAGGAAGAAAATGCCCATCATCAGTGTCTCAGTTCTGATTACCACTGGTATCTCTGCTTCCTTACAATCACACTAAGAACCCCTAGTGGGTGCACTGTTCACACTATTACCAAGAAGTGTTAGAGACAGTATTGGCGAGATAGGAAAGAGTACTGTCAGCTTGAGTTGTAACTGATAACAGACAACTAGAGAGAAGGCACATGTAGATAATACAAGAGACTCTAGTTTCCTACTCGCAGCCTTTCCATCTCTCTACTTTGTCTCCCTAGCCATCACAGGGGCAGATTTACTGCTCAAAGAACACGAAGAGGACTGTACATGGACTAGAGGCAGGTTAATACTGAAATGCTCAAATAAGTCTTATCTCCATGAGTTATTTTGCAAACTCAAACAGCTTTCTTCCATGGGTTTCTGAAGTTATCACAACGTTCTCATCAACTGTTTCATCTACATTTTTACATATTAAAACTGGAAAAGATCAGTTATGTCAAGATATGGATGACACATTGCCTGAAATTAGTAAAAGTGGCAAAGATAGTTTTTTATTAATGGAGGGCTGCTTTTATCTATTTCTTTAAACAGGAGTTTGTGTTTGAAAAGGGTAAAATTCAATGGCATAACGTTGAAATATGTACAAATTGGTTTGAATGGTGGCTGAAGTGACTGATAAAGCTATGTGAAAAATTAAATCAGAAGCTAAATAATGTTTTACTGATTTATAGTCACTGCTTAATTTTAATTGTATGGATTTCACAAGTACGTCTTTACTATTTTTTCCTGCAGTGACTTGAATTCCAATAAAGGTAGCACCAATATATAGTGATCTCTACCTTGTAAAAAATGACAAAAATCTTAAACTGCAGTCAAGTTTTCAAAAGGCATTTATATTAAAAATTATAACCTATAAAGTACCCTTCATGTTCAAGAACATCAAGTTAAGGTATAAATTACTTTCATTTTTAGTCTAAGATTTTTGTTTTAGAATGAAGGTCAGTTTCAGACTCCACAATTTATCCAAGCAAAATGCAGAAGGCAGTTCTATCATTTTATACTGACAACGGTATGGTTATAATGCCATAGAACACACCCAAAAGATTAGAGGTGACTCACCTCCACCACCCGATATGCTAGGATTTTCCAAACTGCAATTATAAAAAACAGTGTGTCCCGACTAAACATACTTGGTTAATAGAACAAAATAAAAGTGAAAATTTTTGTTTTACATGTTTATATAGTGAAAAATATTCTCACTGTGCAGCTGGGAAAAAAAATGCTAGGTTACTACGGACTCTAAAATAGATGAAATTTTGCCCTCTGGAGCCCCCTACAGGCCCTAAATGTTGAAACATTGAATTCAACAGTAAATACATAACCCTTTACTGGAGGGTGGTTCTAAAACAGTGGTTCTCAACCTGTGGGTCGCGACCCCTGTAGGGATCGAAAGACTCTTCCACAAGGGTCACCTAAGACCATGGGAAAATATAAATATATATTTCATGATATTTACATAGTTCTGTGATTAATCACTGTGCTTTTATGTTCAATTTTTAACAATGAAAATACATCCTGTATCAGATATTTACATTACGATTCATAATAGTAGCAAAATTACAGTTATGAAGTAGCAACGAAAATAATTTTATGGCTGGGGGTCACCACAACATGAGTAACTATTATAGGGTCGTGGCAATAGGAAGGTTGAGAACCACTGGTCTAGAACCTCAATGATTTATGAAGGAGCACAAGTTTACATATCATTCAAACTGAATACATGAGCAACTGCAGTCATCAAGTTAAAAGCATCTTCAAGAAACTAATCTGGAAAGGGTTGTATAAGCATTTTAGTATCAAACTTAGAACTAGAAGAAATTTACGGTAGCTTACAAGTAATAGCTGTCTGGGGATAAATCTAACAAATGAAATCACAAAGACTTTAGACACTTTTTATAAGCTTTTTTACTAAGGAGCATTAAGTGCTTAATCTAACCAATAGAAATATGGTTCAGCAATTAAAAGGTTACTTCCACCCTTAACTCCACCCTCAAGAATTGACTATAAAACAAATGTTTTTTAACCAAGCCCTAAACCATTACCCCAATTCCAAGCACCATTCTATGTACTAACGGATCACTATATCCATGCAGAACTGAGTGGCTAAAAAATGGATGTTCAAATCAAGCTAATAAAGCCATCTTCTCATGGTTTCAAAATAGAAGATTCCACAAATACAAAAATGATTACCATGCTTTAGTAATCATAAAGAAAAAGCTTGCAAAAGCCTACAATTAAAATCGAACTACAAATGTGTTGCACCAAACACTAGTCTAACCTGAATTTCACCAGTAACCAATCACTTATCAGAATGCCAGAATGGCTTGATTAACCTAGCTTACGGTCAAATGGCAGATAATCCTGTTAAAAGACGATCATCTGGCAATAAAGCCCTTAGCATAAACATACATATGATTCATAAAAATGCAACCAGCAGCTGTATATAAAATTTTCTTTTCCTTAGCGTTTGTTGGCCGCTCAAGTACACCTGGGAGACCGGAAGTAATGCAACCTCAGCAGAGTTCAGTTCAGCTCTGTCCTCCAAGACGCTGGCCCGCTGGGTTAAAAGCAACCCTCTTTCCCACACAATCATACATGCTTGTGTATCTGGTGTTTATTATAATTAGATCCAAACTAGACAATGCTTGCACTCATGATTCTAAATTTACCCTTGACTTCAGCATAAACTACAATGAAATTCATAAAATCATGTAAAAAGGCAACACTTTTTAATTTCAATTTAAAAATATAGTAAAAACATTTTATGCTCTTAAATGCTCATAAATTATGCCTCCTCACCCCCAAGTCCCAGAACTGCTTAATGTATGTTAACATCTATTCAAAACAAAAAGTAACACAGTCTATTTGCTTCTAATTCATAAAATGCAAATGAAACATACTTGAAAAGAGTGAAAGTATTTCTCTATATAAGGTGGGATTTGAAAAATGGTTCTTCTTGAACAATGGCATGATCATTTAAGGGGAATGTTACAAAAAAAAACAACAATTTTTTAAAAATGAGACTCCAAGATCACTCATTTCTGTTATTCCCTATTAATATTCCTATCTCTTCAGTGTTCTTTCCCTTCTCCCTATTCTGCTAGGGGGAAATTCTTTCCGATTGTTGGCAAACATAATGAATATCCTCTAGGTAACATTCAAAGAATTGCTTCGATAAACTTGTGTTTTATATTTGGAATAACAAGTCCCATCCAAGAGTAAAGTATGTGGCTACCAAGGGTTACTTACAAGTAACACTTTAATCCCTTTTTCCTTCAGTTTCAAGGGAGTTACCTTTAATAGCCAGCGGCTTCAGAACCCAAATTCAACTGAGTGACATTCCCTCGTGTACACGGACCCAACAAAAGACACACATCCAGGGCCACTATTCACTCTCAAGAAGCAAGCATACACTCACACATTTTCTTTCTTTCATGAACAAGCCAGAATTACAGCTTTTTTAGTGATTGTTATAATTTCTGGAATGGTTCATAAATTTTCCAAATTATTTTAAATTCGTAATACTTTTATCTTTTTTCTTTTCTTTTTTCCAATTGTGAACCATTCCATATTGCATCTTTATTGCAAAAGTCAACATGCTTCTTAGAAATTCAGATTGTAATTGATAAAACAAACATTACATATATGAATTTAAATGTATAAACAGTTAGAAATTCAACAATATCTTCTATTATACTATTACACAAGTTCACAATTTTGTAAAAACTATAATACAGGCATTCTATACATCAAGAGGAACCACTATTCCTTTTCACATGATTTTTTTTCCTTCATTTTGAAATAATGATCTATCACCATGGACCTTTTCAGCGTAACAGGACCATGTTTTCCAAGCTGTCGTCTTAGCTGGTAACAATGTTTTCCCAATGTTCAAACATGAGGGACGTGAGGGAAAATCTGCATTTTGCTAGTTAACTTTTAATCCACTTATAAACCAGGTTTAACAATGGGGACTGGTGGTATTTTGTTATTGTAAATCAGTTCCTTAAAAGATGTCACACATAAGAAGAGCAGAATATACTTTAAATATTTTATGATGTTTTTCATAAATAAAGATGTTCAAAAATAAAGTTTTGGTAGTTTTTTGTTTAGGACAAACTCTAACACTTGGAAATTTGATGGTACTGATTAAAAATCCCAGAGAGGGAAAACATTAAAAAAAAAATGCTAATCTCTCTTTAATTTTCAAGTAATTGATATCTTAAATTCATTTTTGAGTCAAACATGTTTTTTAAATCTTAGAAAGGGCAAATAATTCTTCCATCCCCAGTTAAGGTATATTGAAAACAAAGTTTAATACAAAGAACTTCAAATCTTACTGGGGGGAAAAAGTCTGTTCTTCATTTTAACATCCTTCTCTTATTCTTGACCCCCTCCTGCCCATCAAATAACAACCCCCCCCAAAATCCTCAACTCTCTTGGTACTGAGAGTATGTCAATTTTGAGGTTAAAAAAAAAATCATATGAAAAGGAATCTCATTCTGATGAACTGTCAGTCTACTGAAAATTTTCTTACAGTTCCATTAATTTACTGTAATTTTCAGTTTCCAAATACAAAAATACAACAATTCTTATTGAAATCTATACGCTGGTAGTTTTAGTACACAAAAACAAAAAACAAAAAACTGAATCAAACCAAAACAAAAAAGCCCCAAACAAATTATTTACAAAATTATACAGCTTAAGAAAAAACTTTGTACAAAAAATATATAAATCCTTTGTTCCCTCTATTATGTTTAAACTGTCAGGACTCAAAATATTCACTACAATGACTCTTTCAAAATATATACTGACTGAGCCACAGAACTCAGGAAAATTTCATTAGAGATGATGGAGGTGGAAGGAGCAGGACTGCTTATTCTAGGTACCCCATTCCAATACTTTCCTTCTTTCTCAGCTTATATGAGCTGCAGTGTTAGCAGAAATACCCTAGAACGAGAAGTCTCCATAATTCTGATGGAAAAATGATATGAACTTAAAAATGATCCTGGTTTGATATATCACTCCAGAAAAACACATAAAAGAGAAAAGATGACCAGAATGTGGGATTTAACTTCTTGTTGCTAAGTGAATTTAGGGTCCTGATGGTTTTAAGTTTCTTAGTGAATAGGTTCTATGTTAAGAAACAGTCTCTACCTCAAGAAACAAAACCCTTGATATGGTGATCACCAAGAACATTTTGGAAGTCAGCAGGATGTTTCAAATTTTTCACACCACGCTTATATAAAAACACACATGTGCATATCCTTGAAAAGGTGACATCCTATGTACATGAATCATTTTATTTCCCCAGGGGGCAGTACAGTGTAGTGTTGCTCCTCTGCTTTTCCATCTAACATTCAGAACACAAGGACATAAATTTACAAATTATTTTACTTAACAGTCTACTCTATACAGTGTACAGTAAAAATGCACACAGTGAAGGGAATTGTCTACTGAAGGGTGTATACGCTTATGGATATCAACAAACTACAAAATTATGAAAATATATGGTCTGATCAAAGTCAAGTTATGACTTCCATTTATTTCTAGCATTATCTATCCCCCTATCCCACCCACACCCCACTCCCAGCCACCTTACCATCACGGCTTCAATGAGGGGAAGAATTTCATATGCTTTCTCACCATTGTGTGTAACTATAACTAAACTGAAGTTATTGGTGGGGGGTGTAGGGCTGGTGACAGACCCTCACCATTACCACCACCCTAACCCAAATCCTTCCATTATTCTCAAAACAGTACTTACTTATCAAGGTTCTGTTTTAAAACTTTATTGGGATTGACGTTTGTTGACCCAAAAGAGTCATTTATCTCAATATTGGCTAAGTAAATCTATTAATAGGAGAGGTAGGAGAAAAAGGGAGCAAGAAAGGGACACATTTGAGAATGCTTAAATAAGGCTGGGGGGTGAGGGAAGGTGAAGGACCTGAATCAATGCTCACTAGGCATCAAAGCAAGCTAATGATTCCGTAGCAGGAGCAGTCCGGGAGGGCTACTATGATGAGAGAAAGGAAACGCCATGGAGCTAGCTATCTTTGCCTTAAGGCATTGGAGAACATAGGGAGAGCATTGTGATTTACAATGAAATAGTCCTGCTGCACATACAAAAGCTGAAAAATATTTAGACCGAATACAAATTGGGCTCCACAGTTAAAAAAAAAATAAATAAACTTTACTTTTCCCCCAAAAAATAACTCTTGAAAGCAAAAGGGAATTTTAATTAAAAATAATAATATCTATTATTGTCTGACGACACATCCATAATAGTTGAAAGTTACGAGATTCAGGCGAATTTGACATTTAATGAAATTTTATAAGCAGATTATAACCCAAAATAAAATTTCTGAACACCCTGTCATTTACATCATAATCCAACACCAACAGCAACAAAAACAAGTGGTGTGGAAATAAGGCTCTAGAGATTATGCATGTCTTTCCTGTGGATCTTCACAACTGTGTAAAAGTCACTAGGCCTTTGGTGCTTTAATATCATATACAGTTATGAGATGTATTTAAATAGCAAACTTGCTGTCCTTAACTACTGTGTTGAAAAGAAAATTAAAAAAAATTTTTGGCTCATTGACTTCTTTAAATAATTTTAAAAAGTTGTTCTTCTAAACAATACTCCTAAAAAGTATACAGCTTGAGTCAGATTTCATCTTCGCCATGAACGAGACTCATATTCCTCTTCATCTTCGTCATCATCATCATGCAAAAACAAATCTGAGGTTTCGGTTTCCTGAAAAAAGAGTTTAAGTTTCATTGGTGTAAGATCATTGAATAAAATACTTTTTAGGCCAACGGACAAATAGTCTCATACACAAAGCCCAGGCTGGATTCACAAAGGAAGTCCTCAATCATAAATGTAACACGTCTTTTAAAAGCAACATTGTGATCAATAAGGAATAACTTGAAGTGCAGGTTAAGTACCTACTTTTATGAATTACTTAGACCTATGTTTCCCAAAGTTGGCGATGCCATCCACTGGGTGCTACTGCAAAGGCACATACCTACACTTTAACCTGAATAATAGGCTATAATAAGAAAGCTTTTCATTACCGGGGTTGGGGAGAGTGGGGGTTGTGAGGAGCACTGAGGAAAATTTTTTTTAATGAAAAGGGGCCTATGGTAGGCCAAATAAGTTGGGGAGCCCATGAATTAGACAATACAAGAGAGTTGAAAGTAAAAGTAGTTTTCATATATTGAAGGAGACAGATTATTTTGTATTTGTATTATTTATGTTCTTGGTTTCCATGTACTCACTTTCACATCTCCAACTTCTGTACATTCTCATTTAAACAAACTGTACAGAGAAAAAACTCAAATCTAACACTTATAGTGCTAAACTAAAATTTAATTTGTTCATAAAATACTTTTCTTCCCTCATGTAACAAAAAAAAGTCTCATCAATATCAAGAGAAAATAATCCAAGAGGGTCCCCCCACCCCCAGCATTTATTCTAATTCTTTGATAATGCTTAACTTCTAGGCATACATGAAGGAAAACCTGCCTACTTAATGTTTTTAATTTGTACTGTTTTAATGCCAAGAAAAATATATAATTGGAAAATGATCTAATTCAATTCATTTTCAATTTTTAAATTTACCTCCTCTTTGACTTCCTCTTCCTCAGTCTCATTGGATATAGAGGGTACCTTGGGCTTGTGCCATGATATTTGTAGCCGGCGGTCTTTGAATTTTGACCCTTGGTTTGTAGCCTAAAATATATTTTAAAAGAATACATAATTTATACTTATATTTAATAATCAATCCTACTTTATATTATTGTCTGAATAAGAAATAGTAAATGACTGAGATATTTATGTTAAAGAAGTTAAGGTTTGGACTGCAGCCTTATATTTTATATTATCTCATGCTGGTAAATTTTTAACTTTTTACTGTGATTTGGGCAAAGTTTACAGAGCAAAAATTGGTTTTCCACTCAGTAATTCACACACATTGTTTCACATGTCATTGATTGTAACCCTCACAATTATACATTACTCTTCCCACATCTTCCCTGCGTTTACTGATACCTTTTGTCCTTCTTTTCCTATCTCCCAAGCTTTATCCGTGGACAAATAATGCCCTTTGTGATCCTGCATGGTGATTGCCATGGGGTCTTTACCTCGTCAGTATTATGGAAAACAAACTAAATGTCCATTAACACGGTACTATTTAAATCAAATGATACAGCTGTGTACTGAAATGCCAGGAAGTCATTAAAGAGAATAAAACAAAACTCACTGCTATGAAGTCAATACCAACTCACAGTGACCCCAGAAGGCAGGGTAGAACTGGCCCCGAGTTTCAGAGACGCTAACTGTTTACAGGAGTAGAATGCCTGTCTTGTTTCCTTGGAGCAGCTGGTGGTTTCAAAATGCTGATCTTGTGGATCGCAGACCAACACAAAACAACTACACCACCAGGGCTCCTTTAAGAGAATACAGCAACACCATACGCACTAGTATAGCTCAATCTCACACAGTAAGTGAAACGGGGACTATGCAAAAAGTATACTGTAACGTGCTCATACTGTGTAAAAGAGACCACAGTAGGTACAGAACATCCTTCAAGAGGACACAAGGAAAACTCGTAATAGTAAACTGTCCGAGGGAGAATTTCTATGTATGTATATTGGCCAAGGACACAAAATTTTTATATATAAGCAAATCAATTACATACCAATAGTATAACCCTGAATCCTTAGAACAGTTACTCACAGAAAAATTTAATCTAGCCTTTTTTCCATATCAGAAGCTACTGCCAAATCTTTGCTATAATCATTGCTCACGAACTATCTGTTGACTGTCAAAGATGAAAATCAAAACTCAAGTGCTACTGAGGATATGGGCAAATAAATATGCTCATCCAATGTCACCAGAAGTATGAATTGGTCCAACATTACAGGACGATCATTTTAAAGTCACGTTTGTTCTGGTCATCTCATCCCTAGGAACGTATGTAAGAAGCGGTTCGCAGAGACAAAAGCATTAGTCCAGAGGTTATTTTGACTGTCACACTGACTTTAGAGCACTCACTAGTAACTTAGTGAGGGCCAAGGGTGCTAAAGATCTTGCAATGTGAAGAACCGATCCACATTATGAATTATCCCACTCAAAAAAAAGCCAAACCCAGTAAGATGTATATAAATATGGAGCACCCTAAACTAGCTATCAGTAGAGATTGGACACAGAAATTATGGCACAATTTGTCAATAGAATGTCTTTTAATAAGAAGTATAGCCATATTCATGAATATAAAAATACTATCTATAACTAACTACACCACACTGCCATCGAGTCAACTCCAACTCCTAACAACACTATACACTGAAGGAGGGGGGTGCAAAACAAAAACTACTGTCAAGTTGATTCTGACTTGTAGCAACCTAGCAGAGCTGCTACCATGGGGTTGGAGGTTCAAGCCCACCAGTCACTCTGAAGGAGAAAGAGGAGGCTGTCTGCTTCTATAAAGATTTAAAGCCTCAGAAACCCACTTGTATTCTTCTTATAGGGCCACTCTGAATTGGAACAGACTCGAATAGTGGAGTTTTGGTAGAGAGGCTATAGAAAAAAGGTTAATTGTATAAACTTAAGTCTTTAGTAGCTACAACAGAAGCACCCTGTTGTCTTATATAAAATTCTAGATATGACAAAGGGTTGGGGAAATTGGCAGTTCCTGACAGTAAGTATTACAACTGAATGTACAAAATTGGGGGAAGGTGGCATACAGATACCGAAGACTTCTAAAGCTCTTATTTTTTAAAGAATCAAATGGCTAAATATGGATGTATATCCACCATATGTAAATACAAACCTCCCCCATACCTCACTTAAAAGAACAGTAATTTTCTAAGGAATAATCTACAAGGTCCGGGATATGAAAGAACACAAAATATTCTTTTAAAAAATTAGGAGCTAGAGAACAGGGCTAAATGAAAATCAATATAGATAATGTTATTAACTTTTAAATCAAGTAACAAAAATGTATTATTTAGAACGGAGACAATACCAGAAAAACGTTAAATGAGTTACAAGTGGACACATTTAAGGAAGGGAAAGTGAGGAGCATGAGCAGGAGACTGACTCGGCTGGTTAAATTGGCCTGACTCTTCAAAGGATGTGCATGTACAACTTTATAAAAATTAAAAAGCTGAAAATGTCTGAACAAAAGAGTCAGGGACTTAAGAGGGAGCAGCTGTTTAACTTCGTGTGCCGGGCTTGGTGAACTTCACAGAAGACACCAGTAGCTTAATGACGACCATTCTCTTTCTACTAGACCCTAACTTTGATCATTGGTCAATTACGGTATGTGAGACTCGGCTCCAGGGAGTCCTTCAGGATTATCAATTAATCATGGTAACTCACTTCCTTTACCAGGAAACTGGTTGAGAAATAACTAAGAAACAAGCTCCACGAAGACGTAAGAAAGCACATGTGCTGAAGGGATGATGTGTGCACATGGGAAGAGTAACTGCTCTCTAGAAAGGGTACCTTCACTGTTTTTAAAAAGTGGCTTAATATCTTTCTTTTCTTCCTTTGGACATTTGTTAGAAATTTTGATTGTTGTTGCTGCAGTCATCCTGATGCCATGAGGAAAAAAAGCCTGAAAACATACACCTTTATGCTAGAATAGAGAAAACAAAAACCCAAACCACCACCATTGATTTGACGCCAACTCATGTCAACCTTACAGGACAGAGTAGACTGCCACTGTGAGTTTCTGAGACTATAACCCTTTACTAGAGTAGAAAGTAGAAAGCACCTTCTTTCTCCGGTGGATTCCCAGGGAGGAGGTTATATGTAGATCCTTGTCATTGAGTACCCCTTTATCTTTTTTTTTTTTAAATATAATTTTATTGGAGGCTCTTACCGCTCTTATAACAATCCATACATCAACTGTATCAAGCACATTTGTACATTTTATTTCTACTTGAGCCCTTGATATCAGCTCCTCTTTTGTCCTTCCCTCACCCTCCCACTCTCATGATCCTTGATAAATTATTATTATTTTCATATCTCACACCATCTGCTGTCTCCCTTCACCTGTGTTTCTGTTGTTCGTCCTCCTCGAACAAGGTGGGTGTTATATGTCGATCATTGCGACCTGTTCCACCAGGGCTACTTTCTATGTTAGAATACCAGAAGTAAAACATAGAAAACGCCTGTGTGGCTGTTACTAAGAGTTACTAAATTATAAAATCAACTAAATCCACTACCATAAAAAATTGACTCATAGCCACCCTATGTAAAGTTTCTGAGGTTTTATTAAATCTTGAGGGGCGCAGAGTCCCATCTTTCTCCTCAAGTGTAGCTGGTGGGTCTGACCTGCTGACCTTACAGTCTGTAGTCCAACAATGGCCTGACAGCACCTCCAGAGTGACGGAGTTACTGGAGTATAAAACTTCTCTAGTTAATAAGGCTTTTTCATGCCCATATTTTTCAAATTCTTCATCTATTGCTTATAGTCAAATATATCTTAAGAAGTATCTTCATAATCAGAAAAGAAAAATAAAATCCAAATCCTACCCTAAATCACTGATTACAAAACCTAAAACAAACAGCCACAGGCAAAAATCTTGGTTAATTAAAAAAACAACCTCAAAATATAGTCCCAGTAATTCAAACATCTAAGATAATTTTTTCCATGGAAATTTAGCCACATCTCACTTTAACCATGGATAAAGGATTTTACCCTTAGCCCTTGTACTTCTGCCCCCTTAAGCAAGGCTCTACACGCATTACTTAACATTTCAGCTTATACTCTGTAGACACTGTTAAGACTTAAAGGAAATTTTTCCCTAAGGTCTCTGATATAAATAAAAGATTTTTTTCCTTCAAAATATATAAAATTCTGCATTGATGGTTCAATGGTAGAACTCTCACCTCTCAAAATACATAAAATTCTATTTATGATTCATGCATTATATAATCATCTTCGATAGATGTTAAATTTAATTTAAATATTTACTACGTAAAATAATATGAAAAATAACATATACCGAACCATCCAAACCCATTGCTATGAAATAAATTTCAACTCATAGCACCTCTAGAGGAGAAAGTAGAATTTCTCCAAAGGATTTCGGAGAACGAAAATCTTTACAGAAGCAGACTGCCTCATCTTTCTCCCACGGAATGGCTGGTGGGTATTACCTCCTGGCCTTTTGTTCAGCAGGCCAGTGCTTAACTCACTGTGAGAGCTCCTTTAACATATACAGGGACCAGGAAACTACAATCCATGTGCCAAATTCAGGTACCCTCCAAGCTGTTGATGGTTTTTACAAGGAGGTGCAGAAATGGTAGAGAGCAGTTATGGTAGCTAAAGTCTATATATGCATAAAATAATACACAGTTACCTGCAGCAGCACTCTGTTTGCATGTTTGTCTAAAAGAAAGGGATCACCACTGTATACAGGATATAACTAAACATATTCTGTTATCCGACAAAATTCCTTCTTTGCCTCCATTCTAGATTATTTTCACTTATTGCACTACAAATAACACTTTGGAATAAGCCATGCAATACTCCTAGGAACAAAAATCAAATGTCGCTCTGGAGCAACTTGTCGTTACAAATGCATTTTATGTGGAGTATTATGGAATCACTAGACAAGAGCTGCTTCCTGACCTTTAAATAAATTAATAAGCACTTGCTAATACCCATGTTTTTACTACTACATTTTCTAATCTATAAAACATTTGACATTTATACAAACTGCAGCTAAGAATTATGCTGAATACAGAGTTTTTAGAGTCAGCATTTGTTACTTTAAAAAACTTACTGAGAAATGCTGAAGTAATTCGTCTTTCTCCTCCTCACTGAATGCCCCAACTGCTAGTGTTTTGGGGCGGTGGTCCACGACCATGTGATTTAATGAGGCTCTTCCTCTTCCCCCACGGCCTCGGCCTCTTCCTCGACCTTGAGAGGACATGGTCTTCCCTCGCCCCACAGGTAAGATACCTAATCGTGCAGCCTGAAGAGCAAAAAGCAATAGAATGTAATACACATTACTAGACTAACCAGTGGAAAATAGAGGAAAATAAAGTAGTGGTTCAGTTTAAATGTGGTATTTCAGTTAACTCCTCTTATGTCTCACCTCCACTTGTAACTGACTGAGTTTTTTCCGTAGCTCTGTTGTGTCTTCTCCAGAAGATAGCCTCTTGTGGAGGTCCAGTTCAGTATCTAATAACTCTTTCTGGGCCTTCAGAAAGATGAACAGTAAAAATCTGTACTGTAGAGAACTTCTAAGATTTTACTCAAAACAGTATATTTACGGAATGACATATATCACCTTTTAGAAAAATACGAGACAGAAGAAATGCGTGCTATAGGGAAGTATTTTGCAATCATGTAGAGAATATAGTTAAATCAGAGGAAAATAAGAAGCATTACCAAACACTAAGACAGTCTGAAAATCAATTAAGGCAAGCTGAGAATAATTTCACATGATAATGCATCATAAATATAGAATAATGAAGATAAATTACAAAGAAAAAATTCATTAATAGTTAAAGGTTAACAGTTACTTTCTAATTTAAACCTTGTAAATGCTGTCATTCTTCCGTCTGGTCGCAAATATTTAGTCAGTCAGTAGTTTTCTGACAAGCATAATTGAGTTTTTCGTTTGTACTCTTTAATGCTTAAATGTACAGTTGTTCTACATTTGGGAACATTTTTGAATAAAATAACACGTTTACGATATTCTAAAGAAGCATTCTTGAAACACTTTACATTCTTATGCTGATCAAACCATAATTTCAAATGTAATAAACACCTTATCATACATTATGTAATTTATATTCTATGTATCTGGCAAATTTATCCCAGATCTTAAAAACCTGGAAACTAACGTAAAATCCAACCCTAGAGCAGGAGACATTATAGCCGTAATCATTACTCTTCTTCCAATTAGACTATCTGGACGCTAGGGTTTCACTACACTTTCACAGTGTCAAGCACATAACAGGTGTTCAGTAAGTAACTCTGATGCTGAATGAAAAATGCAAATGGATACCTCTGTCTTTGTCTTGACTTTAGATGGTGCGGAGATTGTAGATGTTTTTAATTCATCTTTCAATTGTGAGATCTTTTCTGCGAGTTCCTTCAAAGTCTTCATTATATTTGCTCTTTCTTCTGGTTTCATGTTTTTGTTTTTTTCTAGTTTAGATATTAACACCTATAAAATTTACAGTGAAAAGTAAAATTATGCTTAGTATACTTTAATAAAAATGAGGGTTAAAACATTACTATTGAAGTTATTTATTTACATTTATATTACATATAATTTTATTATGCAATGATTTTATATGTATTTCTATCTTTATACAATGTTTACGTATCAAACCAAGAAACTCAACAATGAGATCATGACTTACCTTTTGGCATTCTATTTGTTTTTCTAACATTTCTTGCCTCTTTTTCCTCATATCTTGTTGAAGCTTCATTGCTTCCTATAAGAATAAGTAAAGAAGAGTAATAACATGAAACTACTATAATCTCAATTCATTTCTTCTGGGGAAATGCTATGTAAGCATACCTAATTTCTTTCTGAAATCAGATATTGAAAATTGTTACCATATTTTAACCAATGCTTCCAGGATAATAGTGTACATTTATTTATAACAGAGTTATTTTTTAGGTACTTAAAGTATTAAGCAGCAATTAGCCTTATCTGTAGGATTTCTGAGGATATGTAAAAAGTATTGCTATAAGATCATAGAAATTTTTACTATTACAAAAACATCGAAATGTGAAGTGACTGATTCTTGATATTTTTTATCTAGGCCTATACATTTCTGAAGGCAGTGTTTTCATCTCTTTACCCCTCTCTCTGAAACATTCTGTACTCTTAAAGAGATTCAAATGATGTTCTTTTTCAATGTTGAGTTTCAGGAACAAAAAGAGGTATGAAGAGGGCAAAATAGGGCTGTAGAGTAGATGAGTCTGGATTCCCAATGCAATTCCCATCGTACAGCCCTTGCGACCCCCAAAGAATTATCATGTGCATTGTCGTGATTGGGGGAAAATCCTTTGAAGAACTTTCCTGGCCTTTTTCTCACCAGTGGTATTTTCACTTTTCTTAAAACACCTTCATAAAAAGTTCCCATGGTTGTCCTATGTCCTTTGAAAACTCCTACCAAGATTCTCCCTTTGGAGTGCCTAAAGAGTCATACAGCCTTCTGAGTTGACCCTCTGTCTTGGATTTCATTATCCCTGATATTACACACTACCCCAGATCGCATCAGCCAATGGTTTTGATTGGATATTGCTCTCTGGATCATACATGTAAATCCAAGACTTGGGTCCGGTTATGATTTGTCCTATAAAAATCATCCTTATTAGCTTTGATCTTGCTTTAAAAGACTGGTGAAAAGATTAGCTCTTGGAGCTAGCTGACATTTATGCAATGGTTTGGCATCCATCGAGCCAAAAGTTTGATAATGCATAAATGTTTTAAGACGTTAGCTTAAGATTGAAAAAATATGCGATCCCAACTTTACTAGCCATTGCATCAATGATCTATGACTCCACCTGTTTCTGCAGCCAGTTTCTTCATTCTTCATTCCTGTAAACTTGTTGCAATGCTTCATTGAGTTAAGATGATGTTCATTTGAATTTTGTTAAAAATTTGATATTAGCTTTGACCTCAAATTAATTTTTCCCCAGCATAAAATGTTGTTGTTGTTGTTTTAAAGGCACCCTAATGAGGCTAAGACAAGTAGTATTATGGAGAGAACTTATCTATAGCCATCTACAGATCAGAGATATGTTTACACCTGTTTTGCTTAGAATGATTCATGTATATGTGAACTGGAACCATAGTAACAATACTTTGTAACACCCTCATATTTATTTAAATAACCTAAATACCTTTGTGGAGCTCTAGCAGCTTAGTGGTTTTGAGTAGCGCTGCTATCTTCAAGGTTGGCAGTTCGAAAACCACCAGCCATTATTCAGGAAAAATACGGGCCTTTCTACTCCCATAAAGTTACAATTGTCCAGGAAAACTCGCAGGGGCAGTTTCTACCCTGTCCTGTAGGTTCACTATGAGTCAATATTGATTCGACAGCAATGAGTAAATGTCTTTGTGAATACACTTAAGAATGTATTAAATTAAATTTTATTTCTGAAGTTTGAAGTTTAAAATTTTAAGATGTAGCTCTGTAAGAAATCTGGTTTTTTGGCCCCCCAAAAAATCTGCCTCCTTAATCCTCAATTACCGTATATACTCGCTTATAAGCCGAGTTTTTCAGCACATTTTAATGCAGTTTTTGTGTTAAAACTAGGTGCTTTGGCTGATATTCAGGTCATCTTATACTCGAGTACATACAGTGTGTTAGTCTGGGTAGACCAGAGAAACAAATTCCTACGTATATAAGGGAGAGGGTTTATATACAAGAGGAATTGAATACTGAAAAAACATCCCAACCCAGTCCAGTCCAGTCCAAGGCCCTAAGTCTGATATTAGCCCACACATCAGATACCAATCTATAAAGTCCTCTTCAGACTCATGAAACACATGCAATGAAGCCAAATGCAAGACGACCACAAGCCAGTGGGTAGAAAGTCTTTGGGTCCCCTGGCATTGTAATGAGTGTCCAGTGGCATCTCAGTGGTGGCAGGGGTCTCTCTGTGGCTTCTCTGGCTTCTGAGGTCTGGTTGTGTCCATGTGGCTTGTCTTCTGCAACGTGTCAAAGGAGTAGCAAAGACAGAGGTGTCTTCTGCCTCCAAGGAGGAAGTACCAGATTTCCCAGAATTCTCAGAAGGGCATGTCCACACAGAAGTCTCATTAAATATCTCCAGATTGACAGCCTACACTCCACCCCTACACTCTTAATCCTTAAATTGACACCAGATTGGGTAACTACCACATACAGTAATTAAATTTTTATTTGGAAATTATATGAATATTTTATTTGAAAAATAGAAGCTTTGTAAGTTTAAATCTAAAATGATAATGAAACACATCTGAATCATAACTGCGTGAATAATTTACTTTGTGAGACATTATCTAACTTAAAAAGGAATTAGAGGGAAAAGAAATTTTACTCAAGTAAAAGTAGAAATTGATGTCTCTTCTGGAAGGGGGAAAAAAAACAAAAAATCACCATCATCATTCCATATTTTTTCAATCTGAACACAAAGCTGTTACCTGTTTCTTTTTAAGTACTTCTTGAACATCATGTGATTTAGAGCTTGTACAAAGTTTAGAAGGTGTTTTTAAGTTTGAGGAACTGTAAATCATTTTTGGATGACTTGGTGTGGGAAATATCTGAAACACATAAGTATGATTAAATTAAATCTCAGAAATGCTTTGAAATATTACTTTAGAAACACTGCACATATTTCTACTTTAGAAGTAAATTTTCTTTTTACATTATGAACCTCATTTATAAAAAGACTAGCTCACATAAATTCAATTGTATTATCACTCAAAACCACTAACAAAGATTTGTCCATTATTTTCAGCAATATTTTATTTCTGAATGCAACTGCATATTTATATGTATTTTTAACTGTGAGAAACACACAGAGAATTATCAACTGCCTCTGACACCCAGGAGCTAGCCTGTCAATAAGAGCTTAAAGCCTTAAAGCTGCCAGTTTTACAGAACATCAACATCAGATACGGCCACCCTGTGCCCCTGACAGGGAGACGGCTGCGTAACAATGACTGAATACGGAGAAAACACAAATATTCAAACCAGACAAACTCCTAAGTAATTATTAGGTAACTAATTTCTGTACTAATGACAGCTTTAGACTCTCTATAGGTCTTCCTTCTTTCCATGTTAAGATTTATTAAGACACAAATCACAGAAGCATTCCTCTTAACTTACATTTTCCTTAAAAATCACGATTCTTCCTTAAAAAAGAGTTAGTGGTGGTTTTCAGTTCTTTTTGGCTATACATGTGAAAATGTGAATGTTTTAAAGATGCTTGTATATATAATGCATGCATACCACTTGTTCTTGGTTTGCAAATTAACTTTTATCAACTTTGCCTTTTTTATAAACAGGTTCCTTAAAGTTACCTTTGTATTCTCTCCTGTACCTCTTGAGCCTTGAACTTTGACCTCTGCAGCAATAAAGCAGCATTTCTATGCAACACAGGCCTTTTTTTTTTTTTTTAAAGAAAAAATGCACAGAGTTGTTAAATTTTTAAGTGCTGCATTTTAAAAGAATCAGCTACTCAGTATTCTCTAGTTTGGTTAAATACTTGCAAAGTATCCCTATCGTAATTTGTGATATAATGCTGTGTCCTAAAATGTATTTTTTTTACTAATAGACAATTTATTATGGCACAAAAGCACAAGTTCTGTTTAGATAATATGCCGTTACATTCTGTTAATTGATCATTAATTGATGTAACTGTTAATTGATGTAACTGAATTTCTTTTATAGTTATTAAAAACCTCAAATTTCTAAATCTGGAAAATCAAACACAAGGCCAAATACTAAAACCAGTCATCTTAAAGCACCCTCAGGAGTGCCCCTTGATTTTCACTGTGTGCATTCTTCTTTACTAAATAGTCCACTCAACATGTTTAGTTCAGCTATGCTCCTTGTGGTCTTGGCTAGAGGGTAGTCATAAATTAACTTTGCATAAATGAAGTACCAAATAAGAATCCTTATTTCCAGTAACTGGAAACTCTTCAGAGAATTACAACACTTGGGAATTATGATCAAAATTTGTGTCATATGAGTGTACAATGAAACAAAAACAAATGGCAGGCAGATCTGACTTTGCAAGCAACTGACTGGTGGCCATCCTCATTGTGCTATTTCAGCACTTAGATTCCTCTTCAGGAATATGAATTGATCAGGTGACATGCCAGTTAATCTCTTCTTTAACACACAGTAGAGCAGTATGGTAGACTCCATAATCCATCTAGTTCAAATCATCTCTAATGCAGTCTGCTCCTTTGCTTCTTTTGTTTCTACCCCGCACCCCAACCCCCACTCCCCTCCACTGACCTTAAATATATGCAGGAAATAATGCTAAAGAAAGTTACAAAAAAATTAATTATGGAATTTATATTTCCAAATGCAAACATTTCTTTCAATTTCCATTATTTGTCCTCAAAATTAAGCAACCTTAATTACAGAGAAAAATGCCCCTAATGTTGTGAAAAGGCTCCAGAGTTGGTTTATTGTCATGTTAATATTACCATTGTATTTTTAAAGTGTAAAAAAATGACAAGATACAATTTATTGAGCACATCTTATGTGCTAAGTACTGCCTGATTATATAAGCATTAAAAATCTTTAATCTCTATTATTAACTCTCTGACCTACATATTTCTGAGCTGTTTCCTTTGTAGGAAGTATTAGTAAACACACATAAGTATATTTAACACATAAATATATTTCTATGTGTTATACATTAGCTCAACCTCAGCTAACACGAGGCAGCCAACCTCAGTCAGAACTTTCTAACCACAAATCTGCCTGGACAAAACATAACCAGAACCCCCCTTAGAAGCAAGGATAGTGCAACTTTTTCTGAGGTGTTACTACAAAAGACAAGTCACTAGTAAAGGACAACAAACTCAGTAAAGCAGGTCATCAAAAAGAGGAAGACCTTTAATGAGATGGCCTGACAGTGGCTAAAACAATGGGCTCCAATATAGCAATTCTGAGAGTGGTGTAGGACTGGGCAGTGTTTTGTACCTAGGGTCAGAACCTACTCAACTGCACCTAACAACATCAGCAGCAGCATCTAAAGCTCCAATCCATTCGATATTTATCCTTATGTATGATGTAATAAAGTTTTAATTTTATGTTTTTCATATGGTTATCTAGTTACCCTAATTCCATTTATCAGAAAGTCCATGTTTTCCACACTGTTATGATTATTGGGTTAGCCTAAAATAAATTCCCATTTGCAACTGATTGTTGAATTTTTAAAATTCTGTTCCATTGATCTTTCTATTCAAGTACCAAAATAAAATTTTAATTATAAAGACCTTACAGTATTTTTAAATGTCTGTTAAAGCTAACCCTCTTCATCTTCATTATTCTTTTTTTCATGGTTTCCCTTCTCTCTTTGAAATAATGAACCTGTTAAGAATCACAGTTCTGAAGGCAACAGAAAATATTTCAAACATATTCCAAATTTAGACATTTGAATATGACAGAATCACTACTTATTTATGTTTCAATTTAGAGCTATAATTTTCCTACACAGATAGAGAAAATAAAGACTCATAAAGGTATCTATCTACTTATTAGCATATACCTAATAGAAAAAACAAATTTAACTAGAAAACTCCTAGCAGAGAAAAAGAAATCAGGGAGTTTCTACTAGTCTTATGTAGGCCAGCTATCACATTTGTTTTGACTGAGGAAGCAAGACATTACCAAGTCTAGATTGTCACTAACTTTCCTATTTCCTTGTTTCATTACCAAAACTAAACCTGTTGCCATTAGCAACTCAAAATATATGGAGTGTTCACAGAAGTGCATACCTGGCAATCCTCTCCAGCACCACCAGACTGATTCAACAAGTGAGCCGCCTCACTCTGGTTCCCACTTGCATGCCCAAGACGATGTTTAACAGGAACTTTATTAAGGACATAAGCACCGGATGTCTGTGGCTTGTTCACCATCTGTGCATACAAAAGTACTTATGTAGCACACTTTAAAAAGCACAACTACGAATGAATATTAATGAGACACAGACCAATGGAATGGAACAAAGCCTTTAAATAAATGAATATCTCTATGATCATTTAAATTTCATCACAAATGCTAAATTCATTCAATGGAAAACATAGACTGTTTAGCAAGTGGTGCTGGCACAACTAGGTTTTCACAGGCAGAAGAATGAAGCTGGAGCTATACTTCATCTATTTATGAAAATTAAATAAAAATTAATTTTAAAAATCTAAATGCAAGAAACTACAAATTTTTTCAATAAAACATAAGAATAATGTTTTGAGATATAGGTTTTGAAACTGGATTCTTACATATGACATCAAAAAAACACAATATGGATGAAACATATATTGTATCAACAATCAAAATCTTTTGATAAGCAAGATGAAAAGACAACCTATCACTTAAGGGAAAGTTTTGGGAAACCACCTATAAGATTAAGAGCTTAATGTCTAAAATATACGAATAACTCATATCTCAAAATCAAAGAGCAACCAGATCTTTTTTTTTTAAAGGAGGGTGGGTGGCTTCAAAGGGCTTGAATACATGTTACCAAACAAGAAATACACACATGGAATTCCCTCTGACTGTAGTGCAATGATATGAATAGCCTTGCTAACAGATAGCATTGTAAAGTCAATAATGACAGGTAAAGGTAAGCTGTTAAGTTTAAAATTAATCTTATTGTTTGATTTCCCTTTCTTTTATATTAATATATATCATTCCATAGTTCAATCATGTTGAGCAGAATTGTACAACTGCTACCACAATCAGTTTCCAAACACTCTTTTTCTACATGGACTCCTCTTAAATCTCCCTTTTGAGCCATTTTAAAGTTGTTTTATTTTTTATTATTTTCTGCTTTCTTTTTGACTGAGGTTTTTCTGTTTTGTCTAGTCATTGTTGATGGTTTTTTTATTGTTTGTTTGCTTCCTGTTTTTGTTTTGTAAGATTTTCTGTGTATGAAATCCAGGATAGGTAGACGGACAGAAATAGTAACTGGATTGATAATTGCCTAGGGGCATGGCAGGATAGGATGAGGGGCATAGTACATATGAGTACTATAAGAAAATGTACTGAAGTTGATTGTGGTGATGACTGCACAAATCTCCTTAATATAAATGAACAATTAAATTGTATAATATGTTAAGTATTTGCCAACAAAACTATTTTTATAAAAGAAATACACTACATGGTCAACAAGCATATGAAAGATAAAAGAAATGTAAATTAAGGAAATTTACATTAATTAAGAAAATGTGAATCAAAACTACAAATGTAATAACACTAGGTTGGCACTGATATAAAAAAAACCCAAAAACCCAGAAGCTGAATATTCGAAACACTCATCCACTGTAACCAAAAACATACAGCAAGTGTCACTACTATGCAAAACAGTGTGAATGTTTCTCAAAAAGCTACAAGCAGGGCTACTATATTATCCAGCAACTCCGCTCCTAAATATTGACCTAGAAGAACTGAAAGCAAGAAACAGATACTTAATATATCAATGTTCACTGCAGCATTATCCATAAGAGTCAAAAGGTGGAGACAAGCTAAATGCAATAAACAGATGAATGGATTAACAACAAGTAGCATATACATACAACGGAATATTACTCAGCCATAGAAGAAACAGAGTCCTGGCAAATGCTAGGACATAGATGAACCTTGAAAACATTATGCTGAGTAAAATGTCAGTAACACACGGACAAATATTGTATAATCCTACTTATCCGAAATACTACAATTTTTAAAAAAAGGTAGAATCTAAAGTTCATTGTTGGCTCTAGATGATTAAGTTAACAGGTGATGGAAAAACCCCAAACCAACAATAGTTGAATACAATGAATGTAACTGTATATGCAAAAAATATTGAAATAGCAATGTTTTGCTATATATATTTTTACCATAGCAAAAAACTAAAATAATAAAGATCAATTTTATTATGTGCCGTTTCACCAAAAACATGCTTAAAAACGTAACAAAAATGGAAAGGGGAGGAGAGGCCTTCTGTAAAGTTTAATATTTTAAGAGTAGTAAGTATACAGATGTTATTATCTATATTTCTTAAATGCCTGAGTATCACAGCAAAAAATATACATGCTTATATATATAAGCACATACTCATATAGACAAAATTCCTAATGATTTTCAAAATATTGCCTTCAATTAGTATTGTTCAAAAATACTTGAGGGTTTTAACAGCTTAATATGAATAGCAGTGTGACAAAGCCACCCAAAATGATTCCATTTCGATTAACAAAGCATAGCATAATGGATCACAGAAGTGATAGTGTCACTCTTTCCTTTACTTCTCAGCCAACATATAAGGAGTTTGTGGGCTCTAACATGAAGTGAGATATAATGGATTCAGGTTTAGACAAAAATGAGTAAGATGATAAATGAAACCAGAACTATATACTGTAAGAAATTCCTTTAAAAAAAGTCTGAATATGTTCATTCTAAACAAAAAAAACTAATTAGCTGCTGTCAAATTGATCGCCAAGTTGTTGCAAATCACACACAAGACCTCTATGATCCATACAGTTTTCATGGATTGATTTTTTAAAAAGTGATCTGTGTGGTAGTTAAATAATCTGTTGTCAATTTGAGAGCATTAAGAGTGAAGGGGTAGAGTTTTAGCCTTTCAAGCAGGTGGCACCTTGATGACCTCATTTGGACACACACTCATTCCCTAGAGACATTTCCGTTGACAAGACACATGGAGCTACGCTAGAGCTCTGGAGCCGGAGGAGCCACGTGGAGACCCCTGGCAGCGCTGAGATGCTTACAACGCCACTGAATCCACGCCACTGAATCCACAAGACCTTCTACCCATTGGTCTGTGATCTTCCTGCATTCGGTGTCACTGCACGTGTCTCATGAGTCTGAAGAGGACTTATAGATTGGTATGGGCTATTATCGGACTTAGGGATTTGATCTGAACTGGACTGGGATGTTTTCTCAATAAAGCTCTTTCTTATACACATATGAATGTCTCCCTGGATTTGTTTCTCTAGTCTACCCAGACTAACACAACCTGTAACACCTTTCTTCCTTGTCTTAGTGTGAGGGCTCTGCTGAAATTAGTTCAGCATTTCAAAAACAGGCAAGCATAGATTGGCAAACACATGGTAGCTGAGCTGGAAGTGCACTGGCCAGAAACTGAAGCTGGGTGCCCTGCACAAAAGATGATAGAAATTCTATCATTGAGCCACAACTGCTCTCAAACAAAAGAACACCTATTAGGTGAAAATTTTATCATCAAATATCCGAGGAAATGGTGAGTTTGTTCTTTCCTGCACTCATTTATTCATTTATGTATGTTTTGAGCAATATGTGCCAGGCATTATTTTACATACGAGGGAGAGAATGAATATTAACAGACAAAAGTTTCAATTTGTGTTAAGTTTTCTATTCCAATTTTAAAATGTATAAAATTTTTCCAAATGAGAAAGAGCAGAATGGGTGACTTAAAGAACAGACATCATGGGACAAAATCAGGAAGAAGTCTGAAGATTTGTAGTCGTTTAGTGATAAACAGTTACCAACCTTCAGTGTAAGAATCAGTCAGATTTATTGAATATGTATATATTAAGAGTCCTATAAATAAAGATCTATTCTTTAGTTTTAAGAAAGGGAGGCCCAGGAATCTAGACCCCCCAAAAGTGAGTTTAATGTATAACAGTGCGTGTCAAAACAGATTACTGGGCCCCACCCCAATGTATCTAATTCAGTAGACTGAGAGGAAAAGGAAAGATCTACATTTCTATTACGTTCCCAGGGGATCAAATGCTGACCTGCAGACAGAACTATGGAGTAGCCTGATGTAGGAAAACTTAAGGAGCTTCAGTTGAGAAATGATCTAGAGCAGGGGTTGGCAGACCAGACTGTGGCTATTGAGCTATATGTGCCTCTTTTGTTGCATTTGCAGCTCTAAAGTAAAATTTAAAATGAAAATAAAACTTGTAGTTTCATTTATAAAATTTTAAAATGATATTATTCAGATAACAGTGCTTTCAGTTGTTTTAAAAATATATTTATGGTTCTCGAACAATTTTTAAATTGTCGTGAGGGACAGAACTGGCTCTTCCGTCTCAAATGTTTGCTAATCTGATCTAGAGGGTGAGGCTGAATGGCCTTTAATTCCCCGTGAACACGTAGCTTACCTTCTGTATGCCTCCATGCACTGTTGAAGGAGGAGACTGGGCCACCAACACTTGCTGTTGATGAAGGTGCTGCGGCAGGTGATGGTGCTGCTGTGAGAGATGACTCAGTGTCTGCTGCTGTTGGAGGAGCAGCTGTGTTGAGGACTGCAGCGCTGGCTGCTCGTTGTTCTCTCTATGCCATAAAACTCGGATGAATCGGTTATTCAGAACTGCTTCTGTGCTAGAAATAGCTTTCCTGGCCTCCTCATTGGTGAGATATTGAATGAGGGCTGCTTCTGGATCACCCTTAAAAGCAACCTTTAAGAAAAAAAACAACAACATAGAAATTAACAAATAATTAAATGCAAATAAATGACAACACAGAAAAAGAAAACATTCTACTATAATCTATTGTGAATCGTTTGTAAATCATTTTAATTCATTAAAAGACAACATGCATATTTAAAAACTATACACGAGAAAAGGAAAAAATAATTTAATATATAATTCGTACAGCATTTTTTAAATACTTGGGAAATTAGGTCATATCTTCATCTAGCATTTTATACCTTCCTGGTTACCTTAATTATAAATCAAATTCCTGAGAAGAATGTTTCACAATATCTAATAAACAAGTCACAAAGCCCGATGGAAAAAAGTGAGATTTGTAGGAAAAAGGTAATATATTGTATTAAACTTTCATATCTCAGTCGAAACATGCTATATTAAAACAAACCAACAAAAAAGGCCAATGGACAGTATACTCTTCATATACATAGCAGGCCAACATTTGGTTAAAAATATTACCAATAATAGAAAATAAATGCCTCAAAAACAGGTAAGAAGCACCGACAACAGATAAATCCGAAAGAACTAGAAATGGTCTACATAAATTAAAGAATCTAGCTCGCAATTAAAATGCAAATTATTATCAGAAACAATAGCATCCTGGGTATTAAATGCCAGCCAACTAAGTGAGGTTGATGTAAACTGAGTTCCCAGAGAAGAAGCACAAGACCATGTGTGATCCAACGATTGTAAACAATAAAATCCAAATCCAAAGAAGGGAACAGTGTCAGAGCTTTAATTCTGAAAACCTGGCATGCAGAAGTCTAAGGATGACAATGAAAGTCCCAAATGCATTTTCAGGGTACCCACATGGAGTGGGCCTCCAATGAATCCCTTCTAATCACAGTCCAGGGATGTGAATAGACTTGCTATCAGATAGAGAGCACTGTAAAGTGGATACTGGAGGATGCAGTTAGGTTAAAATGCAACACACCATTTGGTCTCCCTTTTGACCCATTTTAAAGTTGTTTCAGGTTTTAACGTTTTCTCCTTTCTTTTGACTGAGGTTTCTTCTTTTGTTTAATTTTGTCATTGTTAGAGGATTTTTTGGTATGTTTTTCTATCTATGCAATTCAGGATAAGTGAATCTGCATAGACATTAATGGATTAATAATGACCTACAGAAATGGCAGGGGATGTTGGGGGAAACCGGGGAGCTAACAACAATAAGCATAAGAAGATGTTCTGAAATTTATTGTGGGGATGATTGTACAACTCTTCTTACTTAATATAATTGAACTAATACATTTCATGATGTGTGAATATCATTTCATTATATGCCAATAAAGCTATTTTAAAATGCAAACTAAAAGAAGTATATATTTTTCTTTCATTTTAAAAACATCTTTAGTATATCAAAATTGTCATGTGATGGCATTTCAATAATTATATTTGGGAGTATTAAGTAGACTGCTGTAGAACCCACCTGAGAACAACTTACTGTATATACTTGAATATAAACCAACCCGAATATCAAGGCACCTAATTTTACCACAAAAACGGCATAAGGAATGTGCTGGAAAACTTGACTTATACACAAGTATATATAGTATATACTCAAATCAAAGGTCTTGAAATTAGTACACCCACAACATGAGTCCACTGAGGTAAGCTTTTAAAAAAAAGGAAAAGGGCCATAGGGAAAAAGATACTATATACAAACATTCCTGGGGTGAGGACATGGTAGTATGGCAGGGACCAGATCAAATGCAGGGATGCACATGGTAGACAACAGGGGAGGAGGTGGGGAAAGGAAAAAAAAAAAAAGATGATCATAAGGAAGAAATGGGTAGCGGGGGCA